AACAAGGCAAGGGATTGGGGGGGGGGGCTGACATAGATATAGAGAAAGAGATAGATGGATAGTTACTGATTGATGGATTGACTGATACACATAGATAAATAATATAAAGGTTATTTGTACATTAGTCATGAAGAATTGATAAAGGTAGCTTTGTTCCTAGAAATTATTGTATGTGAACTTGTACGTTTTCTCTTTTTTGTGTCATTAGCAAATTAAACAATTTTTACTTTAGTTAAATCATCTTGCTCCAATTTTCTCCCCATTTTTTTCTTTGTGTAATCTTATAACAGATATCACAATGACTATTAGTACATCTGTTTCCTTTTAATACTCTGTCTCACCACCATGATCTAAATTTAATGTTACAATAGTAAATGGTTAATGGTTAAAAGCAAAATAAATGTGCTGAACATCTAAGGTCATGTAGAACTATAGGAAGGCACAATAAAGGGTAGTGAAGGGTAGAATGTTACAATAAGTGATGTTGATCTTGACAAAAGATATGTTTATTATAATGGTTATTATTCATAAATTTCTTAGAAATCTTGCTATTTTGTCTAATTTTAAACTATTTAGGCTAATTTTTTCTATTTATATTTTTCTCTTCATTATACTAGAATATAGAAAGAATTCTCAGTGGGTTAAAGTTGCATAAATTATTACTGACACATACTTGCAAAGTAATTTTTGTCTGAAAATATGGTCAAAAATATATTTCATTGCTGTTAGATTTAATATGATCAAAAGTGAGGGGTCTACATTTATTTTGTTATAAAAAAGTAATATTTTCATATCATCTACTCATCTTTTATATGTTCCAACATGTTTCACATCATGTATAAATGGTAAACTGTTTAAACAAAATCCAAACTGATACAGAAAAGGAAAAATACAGCAGAGATGGAGAGTGACTGAATTTCCTGATGTTTGCAGTATTAACATTTTGAAAGTCACTTCAGAATTCTTTCAGTAATATGTGTCCTTGTAAACAAAATCTATTATTAATCCTTTGATCCTGGTGTACATTATGAAAAAATTTGGCAAAAGGGGCAAAAAAAAATTCTTGTACCAAGTAATTTACTACATAGAGATATGATATGGAGTATACGCAAGGTAAACAGTATCTTACCACCTGGATAAAGCAAATCAAAAAACAAATACAAAAATGGCAAAATGTTCGCTTGCATCTGGCCTACATACCACACACCCAGCAGAGAGGCTGCTTATGTAAGCCTAATGCCTGTATTTTGGTCCATGTGTCTTCCATGAAGCAACCAATTTCATGGATGAGCTTTCATTAATATTACATGTAAATGAATGTTCAGAGTAAAGTTTCAAATATATGTACTAGTAAATATTGCAATTTATTTTGTTAAGTCTCCCCAAATGTTTTTTGTATACTAATTTTCATGCTGTGATATTGTTAAGTGGTTACCTGTATAAATTGGGCTGGAGATCCCTCCCATTTCTTTCATACTTTGTAATCTTCCCAGTACGATAACATCACATTGCCGCAATCTTATTAGCTACCAATATCGCGATAAAAAAGACCAAGATGACTATGAGAAGAATATTTTTGTATGTTTTATATAGTTCAATGTTTCACAACTTTTATCATATTTCATCCAGTTTATGCACAAACCTGAGAATGACATTTGTCATATTTCATCTTATGCAAGTGAAAGAATTTACCTACTCTTTAAGTTTTCAGACCTTTAGCACTACACTGTAGTAATCAGGACCTGAAACCTAAAGCTTGGCATAGTTGCCCAGGTTGTATTACCAGGTCCACAGCCTTGGCCTCACTCACTCACCGGCAGGCGCTTCTAGCGACCCCCTGCCGAGACCTGACTGGCTCACCCGGACACCTCACAGCTCTCTCATTGGACCGCAGTCTTCCCCCATTCCCTGTTCGCTTACAAAGCTTGCGTGAACTTAAGTTGCAGAATCTGGACCAAGATAAGCATCTCAAGATTATCCAGCAGCACCATAGCTAAACAGCAACCACCGGGGAGCCTCGCCAGCTCCCCCGTCAATCTTCAACTTCAGTTCCAAAATTCAGCCATACCTGTGGGAACTCACACCCACTCAAACACTCCCTTACGAGATATAGACACCAGTCATAAGGTAGATACAACTTCATCCACAACAACATATTCATAAGTCTAGATAAAAAAATTTGTGTTTGTCATCAATAAATAAAGTTCTAATATTTCTAATCTACTGCCAACAGGTACATAAACTGTCTGATGAAGTTTTGCTATGTGACTTTTTGTTTTTCGACCAGTAATTTACTCCTTAATAACTTAGCTTTTATGGAAACATATATGTATAAACACAATAAACAACGTAAAATAACAGGGGACATGGCTTGTATGAACATGCCATCTCCCGTGGCATTACTGAAGTACTGCTTTACTCTGGGTTAGGGTTTCATTCTTTTACATTTTTGCTTTGTTTCACTGGAAAAGTTTTTTCGAGGGAAATAAAGCTTCAAATATTAAACAAGTTTTTTTTTAATATCAGTATGAAACTGGAAATTAATAACTTATTCCTACATCACTTATATACATCATTACCATCAGTTTTATCCGACAGAACAATATTGTCTAAATTAAAATAAATTTTCTTTACAAAACAAATCAGAACATCCAAAGAAAAAAAATCCCCAAAAAGGAACTAATAAAAAATCCAAATTAAAGCTTTTTTCTTCCTTCATAAGCATATAACATTACAAAAATAAAGATAATAGTAATCTCAAATAAAACAGTAATATATCAAAATAATAATCAATACCTGTAGAAACAAAAAAATGAAGAATAGGAAATAAATATCCATCTATATACACATCTATGTCTTTGTTCCAGCCGGCACGGATATCTCAGTCTCTTCCCCGTCCCCCTCCATCACATTCTCCGGAGGGACCTCAGTGACAATGAAGCTGTGGCTCTCAGACAAGTCGATGATCTGCTGGGGTCCTGGGGTCGCCAGGTGGCCGCTAGCATCACTTGGGTTCAGGGACTCATCCGTCACTGAATAGGCCCCCCCTAGGCCACTCGCATCCATGTCCTCCACTGGGGGGACACTCACAGGCTGGAGAGAGAGAGAGGAGAGGGGATGGTAATATACTGAAAGAGTATTACCTTCATTCCCTTGAAGGCATTTTTTTTTTTTTTTTTTTCCACGGGGTGGAAGGAGGAGGAAGAAGAAGAAAAAGAAGAAGAAGAAGAAGAAGAAGAAGAAGAAGAAGAAGAAGAAGAAGAAAGAAGAAGAACGAAGAGAAGACGAAGAAGAAGGAAGAAGAAGAAGAAACGAAGAAGAAGAAGAAGAAGAAGAAGAAGAAGAAGAAGAAGAAGAAGAAGAAGAAGAACGAAGAAGAAGAGAAGAAGAGAAGAAGAGAAGAAGAAGACGAAGAGAAGAAGAAGAGAAGAAGAAGAAGAAGAAGAAGAAGAAGAAGAAGAAGAAGAAGAAGAAGAAGAAGAAGAAGAAGAAAAAAAAAAAAACGAGTAACTTTCAATAACTATAGAAGGAAATATAATTTTCCCCCCTTTTTTCTAATATGCTTATAACACACATGTAATACCAATGGAAGCAGAGTCATGAAATTATTCAATAATTGCTTTCAACATACGGAGACAGAGGCAAACAGGCGACTCACTAGGGGGTCGGGTATGGGTGTGTGGTAGATGCAGGTTGTGGTGTGGGGGGTTGAGATCACAGGCATGGAACAGCCGTCGTCACCATACCTGCTGACACCACACGCCCCGAAGAGCACTTGGTTCGGGTCCTGTTGGCAGGAGGAAAACCGCATCAAGTGTGAGCGAGAGGGAGATGTGTGATGAGCAACTGTAGCCATCAAACAGCAGGCAAATATAAAATGTGAAAAATCTCCAGATTCTCTCTTTGTTGCTTCAGTGTACATAGGGATTAGATTGAAAACTATATATATTAAAGATCTTTTTTATAATAATAATAATGATAATGATAATGATAATAATAATAAAAATAAAAATAATAATAATGATAATAATTAATAACAATAACAATAATAATTGTAATAATAATAACAACAATAATAAAAACATTAATGATATTGATTACCGAAAGAATAATCATCATAATCATTATAATCATTCCTAAAATCATTATCATTGTAACAATCAAATATCAGCAAAAGAAGTTATCAAAACTGTAAAAAGAACCACCACCAACACCAACTTCCTTCCCCATACTTACATGTAGGATATGCTTGGCGCAGTATTTTGAGAGAGGTATTGACTTCTCCCCACACCGCCAAGATCCCTCACTATAGATGCACTTCACACAGCCAACACTTGGTCCAGGTTTGTAGTTTACACCTTCTGTCACCTGGCAAATGAGGAGAAAAAGGAGAGAAGGATTACTATCCAAGTCTAGTTCTTTTAAATATAAGAGGAAGGATATATATATGATGATGATGATAGTCAGCATGTAATATAACTGCTTGACTAAAAATCATAAAAGCTATAAATATCTATGAAGAGGTAGCACATCATTTCATGTCAAAATTTCAGACAAAACTACACTAATTTAACACCTAAATTCATAAAGAACTTGATCATATAATTTCTATCAATACTGAACAACAGCTGTAGACTCTAAAAAAGTGTGGAAGTTTGCAGTTCCACCTTCAGCTACAAGTTTTATCTTCTCTGATTTACTATAACAACAACAACTGTCAATACATGCTGCTCAGTTTCCTTTTCAGTACGCAAGCCCTATGGTCTGCAAATCCTCTACCTTGTCATTCCCCACAGCAATAAACAAGGCCTGATTTTTCAAGTTTCACCAACATAAAAGTAGGACTATTATTTCAAGCACTTAATTTCATTCCCCACAATATCTAAGTACCACTGACATCTAGTAAATATAAAAGGCAAGGTGAAACATCAAATTTTATACCCTTATCAATGTTACTAAATACACAAATGCATATCATCAAAAATATACAGATTATAAAACATAAACATTTACTTTCATATTAAAGCAGTAAAGTACATAACTGGATGCATTTTCATGAACCTAAATACACGAATAGTAAAAAAAATATTTTCTACTGCTTAAAACTATAAAATACTTTTTTGGATGCATTTATGTGTCTAGATGTAAGAATGATAGGATGCCAATATCAAGAGGAAACTCACTGATCTGCAATAATGTGTATGAAGAGGAATTGGGGGGAGTGAAAATGATTGGGGGTTGGCTCCATGAAATAGCATGCAGTATCAGAAGTACATTTACTATGATCCATTCATAATCAGAATGAGACAAAGGGTCTTCAGGGACTTGGGGGAGTGGGGATGAATGGTAGGTGTGGCTGGAGGAAAATCATAAACCAGTACCATATACACTATCAGACACTATATACACATGCTATTGATAGTGAAAATGATGAGGGGTTAAAAGACTGGTATTTTCTGATTTCTACCCAAACATATTCATAGTTTGATATACATTCTCCATAAATTTGATCTATATTCCTAAACACTGTAGAATCTTAAAAAAGCAGCAAGAGTTTTACATTCATCCACACATTACACATCCAAAAACTAATCTTAAATACTAAAGGAAAAAAAGTAATTAAATCTAACACTGAAGGCATGGTTCAACTGGTCTCCTGTATGTCCAGGCCCTGACTTGTGTCCAAGTGCCCAGCCAGACGAAGTGTTTCAACTGCAAAAGCATCGCTATAATAGACCGCACATACCTCTCACTTGAATAATGCCATGCATAGTACTTTTTGTTTGAGCAACATGGAGCACAAGGACTTATTCCCTATTTTACCATAGTTTCATGATTCATTTTATATTCATGGCATATAAGAAAAAAGCAAGGAAAGTTTCAACATTATTAACGCCAGTCTGACAGGTCATCAACGCAAGTGCAGAACTCAGTTTCAAATTAGCTGTTTCTTGTTTATTTGTTTTTAATAAAAATAATAATTTTTAAAATGTGATTATTAATTCTAAATGATTTATATGAAATCTCTAAAATAACTTCAGTTGACTTTATAGATGATGAAAATTTTTTTGAGTGAATTACAGACAATCATTTTAAATTGCAACCTGGAAAGCCCAGAGATACCTGAGGAAAGACAGTCTTGGCCTGGGCTAGTGACCCTAAATGTGTGACTCTAAATGTGTGAACATGTAGTAATACATCCAACCATTTTCATGGTAATTATACTGGCATATGTATATCAGCTTATGTTATTGTATACTTTTATAGGTTTATATTACCAACAAATTGAATTTCAAATAAACAAGTGTTAATAAAAAACATTAACTTTTACTGACATATTCAGCTATGGATTCTTGTATTCTTCTTTTAAGACCGTCTGGCATCACTCAAAAAAAACTTTGGTGACCCTCATTTGGGTCGCAACCTTGGGGTTGGGAACAACTACTATAGGTAGTCCATAACTCAGTGGAAGAAATAAAATATTTTTCTTTCTTTCTTATTTTTTGATAATATTCAGTTATTGCAGCCAGGAATAGGATCCTGACCATGGAAATAGCCACATGAGTCTAATCATCCTCCAAGAGCTATGAGCACTAGTGACAAATTAACATCACCCCAACCCACAGCCAAATTTTCCCATGACAGCATGTTCACATCATCCAGATCATAGGGGTTAAGTAAATATATGAAACTCCAACTCACCTGCAAGCGTCTCTCATACTGTTGTCGGTACAAGAGTGCATGCGTTCCCAGGTGGCGATGGTACCTGACCATTGCCTTTAGCTGGTTGTACGCTGCTCTCTCCTCTGGCGTTCCCTTTGGTTGGGCATGGATACTGGCTGTTGGATAATTTTGTAATTGAGTATGAGACGACTATTCCAATATCACTAAAAAGGCAAAAAACTACTTCCATTCTTAAACTGATAGAAAAAGAATAATAAGGCTATATATTTCTTTTTCCTGCCATTGATACAAGTTTGTTTTTAACCATTCAGTGACGGGTATGGCTATAGCCATCATGACATAATGACCTACGACGTGCATGTCATGAGTCGCAGCCAGCGGGCCAGCAGTACACAGTTTAGGCCTAGCCACAAAGTCAAGACTGGTGCACAGTATTACATCACAAATAAATATGGCCCCATCATCATGGGGTTAAACACAATATGATGATTTCTTGCAAGATGAAAAGGGATTCCAATAAACTAATCCAATATATTAACTTTAAAAATCTAAGGAGAGGAGAGAGAGAAGGAAAATAGAGAAATCAGATAAAAGATAGAGAAGGGAGAGAGAGAGAGAGAGAGAGAGAGAGAGAGAGAGAGAGAGAGAGAGAGAGAGAGAGAGAGAGAGAGAGAGAGAGAGAGAGAGAGAGAGAGAGAGAGAGAGAGAGAGAGAGAGAGAGAGAGAGAGAGAAAGGGAGAGAGAGAATAGAAGAGAGGAGAGAAATAGAGAGGAAGAGAATAGAGAGAGAGAGAATAGAGAGAGAGAGAAATAAAG